ACATATAGTAGTATCCATGCACCCCGGGTAGGAAAGGATTTCAGGGTGACTCTCCATCTTTTGTCCAATGTGTGGACCCCCTCTTTGACAAGTAGAGGACTTCCAGCCTCTCCTCAGACACCTCCAGTGATGGAGAGCTTCTGGTTGAGCCCAATTGTCTTTGGATCTTTCTGACTGCTAGGAAAGTTCTAATACCCCTAACCTTGTCAACTGTTTCTGGTGGTCCTTGCACATCCCACATATTGAATAAATGTAGCAGATTTCAGTACATTTTTATGGTGATTGTTTTTGCAGCGGTATGTTTTTATTTATTTGTTCAATGCTTAAAAGTTGACATAACTGTTCCTGCTCTCCCCCTCTCTCTTTCAGTGATAAATCATGAACTTCAGTGTTCCAGATACCAGCAAAGAAAAACAGTTTATTTTGGCTTTCGCTCTTGAATTTCTTCATGATTACAAATACATGAGTAGAGATTAACTGATGTTTTTAACTTCAGTGCTTTGAAATTTATCCTCCCAAATAATTTTTCAAATATGCATGTGTATGTATAATATCAACAGGAAAAATGTTTACAGTGATTACCTCTGTGTGATAAAAATAGGGACATTTAAAGCTTTATTTTTGATTTGTACTTTTTTGTATTTTCCTACAGTGAAAGTGTTTAATCAGAAAGGGAAACAAATATTCTCTTTGCAAGCATTTTTCTTTTTATTTCCTAGATATAAAATTATGTTCTAAATTACATCTTATGGATGGTGTATAATATATACAAAAATTCCTTTCCTTGTCATACTTTATGGAGAAACAGACCATGTTTCATTCATCTTAGTGTCCTTATCTTCCTAAAAATTAAGCATGTTTAACCAGCTCCATTTTGCCCAAGCTGATATTTACACTCACATCCTGATAGAGAGGCTAAGAAAGCTTAAAAACAAGGGAACTGGGTAGCGTTTATCTTCTGGCTGCATTAAAAAAGATGGCAAAATAATTGGTGGGAAAATGAAAAGACTAGTCATTCAGCCAATGTTTTCAGGTACAAAGAGTACAACTAATTTTTTTCTTTCTTTTTTTAAAAAATTAAAGTAGAGTTGATTTACCATGTTGTGTTAGTTTCAGGTGTACAGAAAAGTGATTCAGTTATACATATATATATATATGTATAGTATGTGTATCTGCTAATCCC